ATGTGCTTTGAGTAGGAGAGGACTGATCTCTCCGGTTGGCGAACCTGGTGGAGCTGAAGAGTCCTGGTTGCCACACGGGGCTCTGGAAGCCCACCTTAGTTCAGCCTGCCCCCCCACCCGCGCCCCCTTCCCTACCAACCGAAGGGCTGGTCTTAGGAGGCCAGGTTCCGGGAGAGGAAAGAGCCCGAGGAACACAGAACAGTGAGTCACACACACACACACACACACACACACACACACACACCCCTCCCACCTTTCCATCCCTCCTCCATTCCTTCCTCTCTGCCTGGGGCGAGGACCGCACCTTCGGCACCTGTCACAGCCTGACTCCCGCTGACGGCTGACGTCCCCAATCCCTTCTGGGCTCCTCCCTCCGGTGGTTTCTCCTGCCCCTCCCCTGCCCTCCCCGCCTCCCAGCATCTATTATTAGTGGTTGGTCTGGGGTTTACAGAACTGACTCCAGCAGGCTGAGCTGAAGCTGGCTGGGGAAAGAGGAATGGTCCCAGCAGGAGGCTTTTCTTGGGAGGTGGAGAGGCTTGCCCAGAGGAGGAGAGAGCCTTGTCTACCTGCCGGACACCGGGTACTCCACCGCAAACACCCCCAAAGAGCTTCCAGGGGCAGAGATGGCTCGCGGACCACACGGCCGGCTGGCCTGGTACTTGGAGGAGTTGAGTGACGCAGAGCTGCAGGAGTTCTGCCATCAGCTGCCCCAGGAGGCCTTAGGGGAAGGCTTTTCTGAGGCCTCCTCTGCTCAGCCGGGGAAGATCGGGAGCAGAGAGGTGGCTGCGCACCTGGCGACTCAATGTGGGGAGCAGCGGGCCTGGGACCTGGCCCTCCGCACCTGGCAGAAGATGGGTCTGAGCAGTCTGTACTTCCGAGCCCAGGCAGACATGGCTTTGATGTCAGGTGAGTGGACAAAGGGCCCTCATCCACTGTAGGTCCCTGGGGTCCACCCCAGACTGAGTCCTCCCCACAGGCCTTCCTCTGGGCAATGATGAGAGACTCTCCCCACACCCCGCCCCTGGGCAGAGGCAGGGACCACAGGCTAAGCTGGAGTTGGGCATCTCTTGCTGGACCCCAGAGCCCCACACCCTCTCCTATCCTCAGAGGCCAGAGAAGGATGAAGCTGGCATTCCAAAGGAATGGCAGGGCTAGCATGGCCTTTATGCCCAGTCCCTGAGCAGCAGGGCACTTGGTTTTAAATAGACTGGGAGTTAGGCAGGAGTAGGTCCCAGTTCCTGTCCCCAGCACTTTTCCACTCACCCCATTGCCTCTGTTTCTGCATGTATAAAAGGAGAGAGCGTAAGAAGAGTCATGCTCGAATCGTAGGATTGGGTGAGGGTTAAAATGATAGCACCCGTTAAGCATGTAGCACAAAGTCTTGTCCCTAGCAAGTGCTCGCTAATTGAGACCACCTGTTGCTGATGCTACTGTGGCTGCTGCTGTAATGTTTCTTATTCCTCTTGGCAACCTGGGGATCCGAAGCTCCTAGCTCCTAAAAGAGAGGGCTGAGGCTCAGAGAATGGGAGGGGCTTATGCAAGAGGCGGAGTCAGTGCCTGGCAAGCCACGCCCATTGCCAGCAAGCTTAGGGCCAGCCCACGTGGTGCAGAGTAGACCCAAGCCCCAGGGTCTTGATCTTTACCAGAGGCTTCCTAAGGTGGGGGAGCCCTGGTGGCAGAGTATTTATATGATGGGCTGCTGCTAACCACAAGGTCAGCAGTTTGAAACCACCAGCCGCGCACCCATCGAGGGGTAGCCTCACACCTGGTGATTCGGTGTGGGGAGCCATGGGCTGGGGACCTCAGTTTGGGGAAGGTATGGCAAGGGTCCTCAGTAACACTTGGGGGTGTGGGGTTGTGTACTTTCCCTCACCACCACTATAGTTCCAACGAATTGCTGTAGGTGCCACTTTCTTACTTTCTTACTCTTTATATGTATTTTTATCTTTTTTTAAATCATTTTATTGGGGGCTCATACAACTCTTATCACACTCCCTCCACCCATCCATTGTGTCTAGCACATTTGTACATTTGTTGCCATCATTATTCTCAAAACATTTGCTTTCTACTTGAGCCCTTGGTATCAGCTCCTCATTTTTCCCCTCCCTCCCCACCTCCTCTCCCTCATGAACCCTTGATAATTTATAAATTATTATTATTTTGTCATGTCTTACATTGTCTGACGTCCTCCCTTCACCCATTTTTCTGTTGTCTGTCCCCCAGAGAGGGGGTTATGTGTAGATCCTTGTAATTGTTTCCCCCTTTCTACCCCACCTTCCCTCCACCCTCCCGGTATCGCAACTCTCAACACTGGTCCTGAAGGGATCATCTGTCCTGGATTCCGTGTTCCTAGTTCCTCTCTGTACCAGTGTACATCCTCTGGTCTAGCCAGATTTGTGAGGTAGAATTGGGATCATGATAGTGGGGGTGGGGGGAGGAAGCATTTAGGAGCTAGAGGAAAGTTCTATATTTCATCGTTGCTACACTGCACCCTGACTGGCTCATCTTCTCCCTGCAACCCCTCTGTAAGGGGATGTCCAGTTGCCTACAGATGGGCTTTGGGTCCCCAATTTGTACTCCCCCTCATTCACAATGATATGATATTTTTGGTTCTTTGATGCCTGATACCTGATCCCTTCAACGCCTCATGGTCACACAGGCTGGTGTACTTCTTCTATGTGGGCTTTGTTGCTTCTGAGCTAGGTGGCCAATTGTTTACCTTCAACCCCTTAAGACCCCAGATGCTGTATCTTTTGATAGCTGGGTACCATCAGCTTTCTTCACCACATTTGGTTATGCACCCACTGTGTCTTCAGCGATCGTGTCGGGAAGATGAGCATCATGGAATGCCAGTTGAATAGAACAAAGTGTTCTTGCATTGAGGGAGTACTTGAGTGAAGGCCCAATATCCATCTGCTACCTAATGCCACTTTCTGTAGACCCTTGGCCTATCTTTTCAAAACCAGATCACCGGACCTGACTTCCATGGTGCCTCCAAGTGGGTTCAAAGTACCAGCCTCTGCTGGTTGAGCAGACACCTTTCATGCTACTCAGAGACCAGAACCAAGGCAAGAGCACAAGTTTCCTGGCTTGCAGACCGGACCATTTTGCCCAGCGGGGCCTGTGAGGACATCATTTTCTGGGGGATTGGCAGAGAGAGCTGTGAGGGGGGATCACAGTGGGTTCGCTGGTTTTACCCGGCCCCAGACCCTGTCCGTGGCCCCACCCTGCCCCTGTGACAGCCCCCTCCTCTTGTCTCCATCCAGACCCTTCTGCTGTCTTTGGCTTTGCAAGTTCCCCCAGGCTGGGGTCCCCCAACGGGCCCACCTCCACCGAGGTGCTGAGGTTCTGGGACCCTGATCTTGTGACACCCCTCCCGGTAAAGAGAAGAGAGAGCGTGACCCTGGCTGATTCATATGAACACAGAGGTGACAGACAGCAGGTGGGCCCACACCCAGGTGAGTACAGACCTGCATGGAAACATGGGCCGTGTATGATCTTGAAAGCGGTGCATCTAGAGGTGATTTTTCCGGGTCCCAAAGGTGCTGAGATTGCATCCCCTCCCCTTGGCACCTGGGGAAACTGGTGCCATGTGGGTGAGGGAGTGGATCTTACCAACTCTGGGGGCCAGGTCAGACCTGATCCATGCCCAGGCAGCGTTCAGCTCTTTATCTGGACACTCTAGGGACTCTTGAGATGAGAGTCATCCAGAAAGTTCCAAGAATGGCCCTGCCCTACACACAGGCCCCAAGAAGAGGTTAAGTTGATTCTGTAGCCCAAGCCAGTTCCCTCTCCTGACTTCTCTTATTTCACTCTCTACGCCACCGAGGCTGCAAACATTGGCTACACCCCTGCCTCTGCCTCTTCGCAAGACAACGTCAGGAAGTCATCTCTTCCCACTCCAGAGGACAGGTCACTTGTCCCTGCTCATGCAGCACTTAAGGTAGAGAGCCAGGGCTAGAACCCAGACAACCTGTCCCTGGGGCAGCAGACTTTGTGAAAATCCCTTTCCCCAGCATCTCCTGCCCTTCCCTTTCTTTCTCCTTCTCTGTGCCCCTCTCACCCCATCTGTGTTCGTCCAGGTTGACTAGACAAACAAATTCATAGGCACTCATATATGTCTAAGAAAGAGCTTCATATAAAAGAACAATTGTATATTGAGAAACCATCCCAGCCCAGTTCAGATCAAGTCCATAAGTCCGATATTAGCCCATATGTCCATAAATTCCTCTTCAGACTCACCCAGCACATCCAATGATGCTGAATGCAGGAAGATCACAAGCCAGTGGGTGGAAGAGCTTGTGGATCCAGTGGCAGTGGAAGCATCCCAATGCTGGCACGGGTCTCCACAGGTCTCCCCTCCAGCTCTCTGAGTGTCTCAACAGCAGGAAAAGGAAGGCAGAGAAAGTGGGCCTGGCCTCCAGTGAGCTGTTTCTCTTGGTCACGCCTCCAAATGAGGTCATCAAGCTGCCACCTGATTGACAGGCTAGACTCCACCTCTTCACTCAAGGCGACAGGAGATTATGTCATTGCCACACCATCCTCACTCAAGTCCTGCCCATGGTGGTTACAGGTTCAAGTTCAGTTACCCTCACATTTCATCCTGACTCTTACCCACTTGTGCAACCTGGAACAGTGCTTCAGCCCTCTCTGTCTCTGTTTCCATCTAGCCTGCATACGACTCCCATGTTCTCTCTTCACCACCCTCTGTCCCCAGCCTACAGTACAGAAATTGCTCCTCTCTGAGCTATGCATAAACACACCAAATAAATAAGTAAGTCACTCCACTTGTGGAGCATGTAGGGCATAAAGTGATGGTGACTTCTTAGACATAACCCAACACCATGAGGGACTGCGTCGCTGGGCCTGGAGGACCCAGGGCCAGAGTCTCGGGGGACATCAAAGGCAATGTTCTACTCCCTACTGAGTACCGACTGGGGTCATGAAAGCTTATCTAAAATGCAGCTACTGGTCTTTCACTGCCCAGAGAAAAGACAGGGTGATGAACATGAAAATAACACTTGGAAACAATTAGTCCAAGGACTCATGGATCACACAACACCAGTCTCCACAACCCTGACATTAGAAGAGCTAGCTGGTGCCTGGCTCCCACTACTAATTGCTCTGAGAAGGACCACATTAGAAGGTCCAGGAGAGAGTGGGAGAAAGAGGTGAAATAAAATCATAAAGGGATCAGCTTACTGGTCAGATAGAAAATGCTGGGACCACCGCCGCCTAAGACTATGTCCCTGGGCCTTTCAGGGCTGGAACTGAACTCACCCATATATTAAGTAGTCAGCCCTTTAAGACCAAGAGGGCAGGATTTACACAAGGGCAGAGGGCCAGGAAGGATGGAGGAACGAAAACCAGAAACTCGGGGCACTGAGGGGATTGCAAAGGATGAGTTGACACCAAAATGCATATGAATTATTGAGTGTAAAACTGATAGTTAAGTAAACTTTCACCTCATTATAGAAAAAAGTTGTTTTTACTAACTCCATTGGCACGAAAGTCTGAACACACGATAGAGACTCCACTGAAGATATTTTAAGCAATGATTTGACCGCTCCTACCTCTTTTGCTATTGAAGCTCCTCTTACGCCTCCACCAGCACGCTTCTTTCTCTTGCTCCTTCCCCGTGCCTAGTAGCACAGGCTCTTCCCTTCTCCGGGACCTTGAGCAATTACGCTCTGCCCACAACGTGCATGTTCCACAGCTGGTAAGACAGTGTCTGTTAGTCATCTGGGCCTCTTCTGATGCCACTTGGTAATCAACTGTTTGCTATTTGAAATAGGGAGCTCCATCATCCATTTGGCTTATCCAGATCTGTCTACCTGACATGCCTGGTACTTCCCACCAACAGGAGGGGGTAGACCCACTAGCAGTTGGCACATAGGGTTGCGCACGGTCAGGTCGCTAGTTGGAAACCACCAGCCCCTCGGTGGGAGAAAGATGGATCTTTCCACTCCTCTCAAGGGTTACATTCCAAGTGTACTTAAGACCGTTGAAGGTGGATTGTTTTAAGATTTGAAACAGCCCCCCAATAAAATGATTAATTAAAAAAATAAAAGAGTTACCGTCTCAGAAATCTGCAGGGGGTTTCTGTCCTGTGCTGCAGGGCTGCTATGAGGTGGAATCAACTCGGTGGGCAAGGAGTTTGGTTGGACGGAGAGAAGGAAAGTGTATCTCCCCCTTTACATAATGTTCAAAATGGGATGCCCAACACCCACCTAACGGGAGAATTATGATGAGCTTGAAACACAGTGAGTCCTTCCTCTTACCATCCCCCCCCCAACACACACAGAAAACCCTCCCTCGATGCTCTTCATGTGGTCCCCAGCCCACAACTCTCCAAGACAAGCGTCGCCTACTGCCCCCACATCCACAGCAGTGCTGGGAGCCTGTGGGTCCCCACCTCAGTTCAGCACAGAAGCGGGACAACAGAGGGTTGCTGAGACTGAGCGGCCATGGGGTGAATTTTCTGGAAGCTGCTGCACAGGTGAGACCCTGCTGAACTCCTGGAGAGGGTTGGGGAGGCAAAGGGGTGGACAAAAATTCCCCTAGGGACTGGGTTAGCCAACTCACAAAGGGACTCGCCAGTACGGTGTCCCCCGTCCAAGGTGGACGGGGTGTGAATGAAAACACGATGGGCTGGGTTGGACCGGGCGTCCATAGTCTGCCTGCCCTTTGTCAAGCGCACATCCTTACAGTGTAACTTGCCAGACGTATCTGACAGGATTGGTTTAAGATATCATTTGATTTAAGAGGATGCAGACATGTGGCAACAGAACTAGAATGTTCTGGAGAACTGCCCTCATGTAGAGCTAGGCCTGGTCTGGATGCAGGAGAGAGAGAGAGAATAAAGGGTGCATGGTGGAGCGACTGAGATCCAATCCTGCAGGGCATCTCTGGGACACTGTGCAGGGCACACCTCAGAGTGGTCTCTCTAGGGAGTACATGCCTCTCCCCATTACTGGGCAAGAGCTCCTCCCTAGGCATTACTGCTTCAGCATTTCCTGCTTGGTCCATTCATGGGCCCAAAGAACCCACACACAGAGAATCAATCACAGGTGCTTGCAGACGGACTTCCTCGGCAAGTGCTGAGGGGATATGGGTGGGAGCTGGCAGCACAGCCCACCCATGACCTCTCTGCCTTGATTAGGCCCCTGGCTTAGAAAATGAGCCCTATTGGCCCTCTGTTTTCACTTCTGTAAATTGGGGATGATCAGGAATGATGGGCTGGACTTCTACAGGTAGGAAGTGAGCAGTGGAACTTCTTGGCTGCCAACATCAGTTGTCTTTCAAGGCAGAGAACTGCATCTCCCGTGTCCACTCTTTATCCCCAACCCTTACTATGGGCAGTGCCTGGCCCAAAGTCAGCACTTGATAAAGATTTGCAGAATGAAAGACGGTCAGTGAGGGAGGATGACTTGGGAGAGTCGAGAGATGAGTGGATTGATACAATTGGTGTATGGGTTGTTATAAGAGCTGTTAGAGCCCCCAATAAAGTGACTCATAAAAATGAAGACTTTTAAAGAGATGGATGGAGTTTCTTTCCCAGAGGCCTTTCAGTACACTAGAGAGGACATGCCAGGGTCTTCATCCACAGTGAGTGGCAGAGAGGGCGTGAACAGACAAACAAATCTACTGTGTCCCTTCATGGTCCCCCTTCCCTCCCTGACTTAGGAAACCGAGAAAGCGATCAGAGCCACAGGGCAGAGAGGCCTCGAGGCCAGAATACTCAGTCCTGGAAAGATGAAGATTCACACCAAAAATTCACGCAGCTGCTGCTCCTACACACCCCTCACCCCAGAGGCCGTGAGTCCTGGGGGAAGGCAAGCTGGCATGATGGGGTGCTGCAAGAACAGGGGCGGTTGATTGAAGTCCAAGACTTATTTGGCCCAGACCTGGATACCCAGGACGCACCTCACACGGTCATCCTACAGGGGGCTGCTGGAACTGGGAAGTCGACCCTGGCCAGGCAGGTCAGGAGAGCCTGGGAGCAAGGCCAGCTCTTTAAGGATCGCTTCCGGTATGTCTTTTACCTCAACTGCAGAGAGCTGGCCCAATCCAGGACGGTGAGTCTCCCTGAGCTCCTCACCCAGGACTGGGCTGCCCCTCCGGCTCCCGCTGGACAGATCCTGTCTCGGCCCGAGCAGCTGCTCTTTATCCTGGATGGGTTGGATGAGCCCAAGTGGGTCTTTGGGGAGCAGACATCTGAGCTGTGTCTGCACTGGAGCCAGCAGCAGCCTGTGCCCACGCTGTTGGGCAGTTTGCTGTCGAAAGCCATCCTGCCTGGGGTGTCCTTGCTGATCACCGCTCGGACCAAAGCACTAGGGGAACTCATTCCTTCTTCAGAGCACCCACGTTGGGTGGAGGTGCTGGGATTCTCCCGGGCTGGCAGGAAAGACTATTTCTACAACTATTTCCCAGACGAAAGCCAAGCAGCTCAGGCCTTCAGCCTGGTGGAATCCAACAGTGCCCTCTTGGCCATGTGTCAGGTGCCCTGGGTCTCCTGGCTTTTGTGCTCCTGCCTGCAGCTGCAGATGGAGCAGGGGAAAGAACTTTCGTTGACCTGCCAGACGACCACAACGCTCTCCCTGCACTACCTGTCCCTGGCTCTCCCGGCTCAGGCCCTGGGGACCCAGCTGAGAGCCTTGTGCTCTCTGGCTGCTGAGGGCACCTGGCAAGGAAAGACCCTGTTTCGTTCAGGGGACCTCCGGAGACACGGGTTGGACGGGTCTTCCATCCCCGTCTTCTTAAAGACCCGTCTTCTTCGACGACACCGCACCTTTCTGAGCTACAGCTTCAGTCACCTGTGTTTCCAAGAGTTCTTGGCCGCAATTGCATGCGCCCTTGAGGAGAAGGAGGAGGGAAGCCAGGGCACCGAGAGTGCCCGAGGTGTGAAGACGTTACCAGACGTGTATGGGAGGCATGCTCTGTTTGGGGCGCCGACCACCCGTTTCCTCTTCGGCCTGTTCAGTGAGCGTGGGGCCAGAGAGGTAGAGGACATGGTCCACAGCCAACTGGCTCAGGGGGCCAAGGGGGAGTTGCTGCGGTGGGTGGAAGTGCAAGTCCAGCACCAGGATGCCCCGGTTCCGACGTGCTCCCTGGAGGTGCTCGGCTGCTTGTATGAGATCCAGGACGAGGCGTTTCTGACGCGAGCCCTGGCCCATGTCCAAGGAGCCGGGCTGTGTGCGCACACGGACCCAGAGCTGCTGGTGTTCGCGTTCTGCCTCGGCTTCTGCTGCAACGTGAGGAGCCTTCGAGTGAGCGAGGACAGTCAGCATGGACAGGCGCTGCGGCC